GTGGGATCCGAACCGGGGCCCTCTGGCGTCCCAAGCCGTTCTTAACCATCACGCCACTCAGCCGACCCAAGACCACTTTTGTAGTAAGTGCAAGACTAAACTTCAAACCAAGACCACAAATTAGCACAGATTTCCTACTTTTGAAATCTTGATCAACATAATTTATTACATCCAAAAGAAATACATAGATGTAACCATCTGTATTATAATGATTCAAAGGTTATTATGATGCCTAATTTTTGAATTCATGCTTTCAAGGTATCAGGGACATAGCAGACCCCAGGCCGTTCTACTGTCCAAGGTCCTTTTAAAGTTTTGTATAATGGCCTGGGTTTTATATCATCATATAAACCCTGTGTCGTCAACTAGTTGGCTCACCTCACTTTTTTTATAGAGGTGTCAATTTGTAGAGGACCGAGGCCACATTTCGTCACATTTCCACCTTTCTCCTTAGTTACCAGTGTTGGTATGGCAGCAAGCATTCACATACCAATAAAAAACAGCAATTAGCAAGTTAATCAGCTACCCCTTAAAGTGCTCATGCTTGGTGAATGTGACTTCGTAGTCCTTGGTTATGAAACTCTATTTAAGAAGCCAACAAATTCATGACAATTATTTTGCTCCAATCTTATGATCTGAGGATAAACATCTGAGTAAATTCCATACAAATGAAACCCATAGCAAATAAGCAGGCTTGACAGATTCTATGAAACTAGTCCATGTTTTTTCCCTGTGGTTTGTGAACAGTTGCTTCAAAATGGAAGGAGGTATTTGATTTGACTTTTAGCGCCTTTTCCAAGTTGATGGGTTGCCAATTGGAACATTTGCCTTCTCCGTGGTTGTGTGTGTGTTGTTGCCACAAACAAAGAACCATAGAGCCAGTGTTCACTGGTCTTACAGATGCAGCTATGTACTTTAACATGTTTAGAGACAATGTTTTGTGGCCAAATATTGGGACACACACGATCAACATGAGGGTAACTTACCAGGACCTATACAGCAGAATATGCGAAACGGGGATTCTTCCAGGACACTTGGAATTAGGGTTTCCTACCTCCAGGTGTCCCCTTTATAACTTCTTATTCACTTTTAAAAATTCATTTCTACCTGTCCATGTTGTTGTATGTCCTCCCTCTCATCTGCCGTGTTTGACTTCTCAGGGACAAGGACAATAACCATGCTGGAGTGGGTTCTGGAAAGGGAAGGGCCCTTTGTGGGCAATTCCGTGGCTGGTAGGTGAGGAGTGAGCAATCATAGGTAGATTCGGCCAAGTCCCCCCGTCGGCTCGTGGAGACCCCCGTTCCTGCCTGGGAGGCAGAGGTGAGGCTAGCTTCCTTCTGAAGATGACCCTGGAGAACGTGAAGGGTCTGTCTCTACCAGGTGGTGCTGGGCAGTGGTGGGGACATGGATGGAACTGGGAAGTTCACTGAGTTATGGGAACAGCCCCTCCTTTACCCCGGGGCCTCGGACTCAGTGTTGCCTAGAAAAGAGGTTCTTGAAGGCGCTGTTGTAGTTCTTGTTGAAAGCCGTGTAGATCAGGGGGTTGAAGAAGGAGTTGGAGTAGCCCAGCCACAGGAAGATGCTCTTCCAGATGGCGGGGAGGTCACAGGAGCAGAGGGGGCTGACGAGCTCCGTGGTGAAGAAAGGGGTCCAGCAGAGCACAAACACCCCGATGAGGATGCCCACCATCAGGGCAGCTTTCTGGTCCTTCTGTTCCCGCCAGGTGTCCCCCTCTGTCTGGAAGGTGACAGTGGCATGGCGGGCCGTGAACACCGTCTGGGGCTGCTGAGCAGAGGTCTTCACCTGGAAAAGGTAAGCAATGGCTTCATGAAGAGGCACTGTTCCCTGTCCTTCTGACCTCCAACAGGAATTGTCTATAGCACAGGTGACGCCCAGCTGAGCAGAGGTACAACATCCTGGTTTACTGGGAGTCACTAAATGACCAGTCCCCCCACTACTCTAGAGCCACAGATCCTTCAGCCTAAAATTTCTGAAAAGGAAACAAGCATATCGACTTGTGATAAGTTTGAAATAATTAAAAACAGAGGGAAAAAATTTGAAAAGATCGGTTATGCCAGAGGGTGAAAGAAGATAACAAAAGACAAATTTGTGGCTATCTAGGAAATTTTTAAAGGCTTGAGGGAAAGTAAATTTTATTTAGTAGAAAAATTCGCGCACTGAAAATCTTTAACAGCCGTCTCTGCCGATGTGTAGCTGGTGCATCCGGATCGCTATCAGAAGAGAACCTCCCCCCTTTAGTTTCTGTAACACACCTGGAAATGTAGCAGCTGGAAGCTGCTTCCAGATAAAATGTGCCTGCTCTTACACATGATCAAGTTAGCTGCTGTGTGTGTGAGAATACCCACACTGCGCATGGTTCAAAATTTTACTAAAGAAATAGCAACAGTCCTCGCGTCCTTACGGAGAAAAGACACCACAGTCAAAATAAGTAGAGTAGAATGCATAAGAATGCAGGTGGTTTTTTTTTTCCTCCCTGTTATCACAAAAAGATGAACGTTTGGAGGAACAACCAACCAACACAGCTGCTCCTAAGAGGACGCGACCCTCTTGCACCTCGGAAAGTCCACAAACCGCTGAACTCCACACGTCCCCCAAGTACCATCGAAGGTCGGCTCAGAGAGAGAGACTGTGCTGTGCGCATAGCTCTCCCATACTCCAGTCCGCAAAAACCTCAGCTGTCTTATCATTCTAGCTCGTGAGTGGTTTCATCACCCTCGGACAAGGCAAGGCCTGGGTCTCTCGTGGTGCTTGTTCCCAGCTCAGTGTCTGACACAGGTTAGGCTTTCAGGGTGTGTTTGATTAAAACTCAGTAGACGAAGACACAGCTAATTGGTGGTAAAAGTTTGTGTGGAAGCTGTGGAACCTGCTACCCTGGAGGAATCAGGAACCCTGGTTTGTAATGAACCCTTCACAGAAACATGAGGACAGAGGCAGCCCCCCATTGCGTGCAGACCCTGGAATCACTTAGAGACCTTGCAAGGCCAAGGGACTCATTTTTGAAAGAAGAGGATCTGTGTAAGAAGGGCCTTCTGATGGCAGCCGGCTGGAGTTGGGGCGGAGGCTCACACACACAGGAGCTCCTGGGGGTCTGGTGGCACTCTAGCCCTTCCACACCCCTTGTTTGGTTTAGAGATCAAACATATCAGGGTTCCCCACGTCTGGCACAATTGGCATTTGGGTCTGAACTATTCCTTTTTTTGTTGGAAGCTGTCCTGTGTTTTGTGCAAAGTTTAGCGGCAGCCTTGGCCTCTACACACTGGATGCCATTAGCGCCCTCCGCCCAAGTCTTGATAATCAGAAATGTCTGCAGGCATTCCCAAAGTCCCCTTGGGGAGGAGCAATATCACCCCTGGTCGAGACTATTCTAGAGTAAAAGAAAAGGTACCTCTGACCCCCTTTTCCTTCTTTCTTCCAGAATGAAGCCCTCTCCTCCCTCACCTACCTACACCTCCTGTCCCTCTGAGCGGGACTGACTGATGATCAGTGGAATTCGCTCCCGACAGTCAGAGCAGAGATCACTGTGGCTGTCGCTCTCCTTCACGAGACCGAACTCTCAGTGGTAAAGGTGACGTCTTCATCATTCTTTCGCCCCTCACACCACATCCAGTGTGTGTTCAGTGTGCTTTGCTGAATGTACCTCATGGTCCCCGCGCAACAACAGAAACTGGGGGCCCTGTGTGTGGACTTCTGATCTCAGTTAAATGTGTGAATTAAGGTCCAGGGACAATCCTTGGCAATGAGTGTGGGGGGAGCAGTCCACATCCGGTGGGTCCGGTCCTCGGACAGTTCCCAACTCTTGAACCATAAAGTCAGATTATTAAGGGTTAACAGCAAACAGGGAAGTGTGGGTGGAGACGGGGTGAGAAAAATGCCCTCACTGTCGCTGTGCCAGTTGTCATGCATTAAACGCCACTTGTACAGAGCTGGGGGATTGTCTGCCTTCGGTATTTAATTTCCTCCTGTAGCTTTGCCCATGTTCAGGAAGCAAACAAGTGGTCCTGAGCTGCACATTCAGCCTGCGGGGGCAGTGGGGCTGGACCCAGCACATCACACAGCACGGGAGAAGCACACAGCTAAGCAGGCTCTGAGGCCGCTGTCAACACCACCTTTAATCACACATCAGGAAGGGAGGGGGCTGCCGAGGGGCAGTCAGTCATCCAAGAGATACCATAGTTTGCAAAATTAGCTGCTTTAATTTGCAAAGGAAAAAAATAAAATAAAAAGACTGCGTTGAAACACTCATCTGCGTTGCCGGATGCGTGGCAGCCTTCCTGCCCAGTCACGAAACCATCTGTCCCTGCCCTCTGCTCGAAACACCCCCACTCTAAGTGCAGGAAGCTGCAAGTTCACCTGGCACAGCCCCAGACACCAACTTCCTCAGGGGTTCTAAAGTGTAGAGCCAAAGGGGACCCTGCAGAATTGCGTAGCCCGGACCCCTCGCTGTATATTTAAGGAAGTGATGAATCAGAGATGGAAAAGGATATTATTAGCTCTGTGATACTGAGCATGTGGGCGCAGGGTAAGTCTCTGAAGCTTTCTTTTGCTCTTCCAGTCAAGTCCCTTCCCTACTCTACACTCCCCCCACCAAAAAAAAAAAAAAACCTAAAAATCCTGAAGTTCCACTTTCTGCAAACTTGAGGGGAGGTGTACTGGGGATAAAGTCTGTGCAGATGCAAGTACGTGTTTCTAAGGATCGCTGTAACACCCACCTCTACGGCTTCCGGCACCGGAGAGACGCTGTTGGTCTTCCTGGAGCCCACGCGGAACCTGGCGGCCTTGTAGATCTTCCAGTACACGAAGAGCACCACGCAGAGCGGCAGGTAGAAGGCGCCCACGGTGGAGAGCACGGTGTAGGAGGGCTCGCGGCTCACCTGGCACTCCTCGCTGCCCTCGGAGTAGGTTTCCCCCCAGGCGAAGAGCAGCGGGGCCAGGGAGATGACGGCGGACAGCGCCCAGGTGAGCGCGATCATCACGTTGGAGACGCGCTTGCGGGCTCGCAGCGTGTATTCCAGGTGGCGGGTGATGGACCAGTAGCGGTCCAGCGCGATGGCCGTCACGTTCCAGATGCTGGCCGTGCAGCACAGCACGTCGCACGCGATCCACAGCTGGCACAGCCGCCGGCCCAGCTGCCAGCGGCGCCCGGACAGCTCGTGCACCAGGCTCAGTGGCATGACCAGAGCGGCCACCAGCACGTCCGAGATGGCCATGGACGCCACCAGGTTGTGCGGCACGCGGTGGAAGGCGCGCACGCGGAGGATGGTCGCCAGCACCAGCAGGTTCCAGGCGAACGTCGCCGCCACCAGACATCCCAGCAAGGTCAGAACGAGCACGCCGAAGACGGAGAGGAGGGGCGGGTCGGGGCGCGGGTCTTCCGCGCCGAGGCTGCGGTTGGCCTCCCAAGGGGAGGGGCTGGGGAGGGGGAAGGAGGTTTGGTTCCCAGGCAAATCCATCCCTGGGTCAGGGGGCCGCCCCAGGGTGCGCGCGGAAGGGGCGTTCGGGAGAACCCGTGGCGGCCACGGCGCGCGGAGCCACCCCGGGGGTTTGCAACCTTTGGCCAGTGGCGGGGCTTGGGGGGCAGCGCCGGCGAGACCTGCCCCGGCCTCCCGCCAGTGAGCGTCCGTGGGAGATGGCGCGGCGGAGAGGAGCGCGCTGGGCTGCCAGCCGCGGCGGCTCTGAACCCCTCAGCGGCCAGCACAGCGGGGCCGAGGGGCTGCGTCTCCCAGCCGGGGCTGCCGCATGCCCAGGGCTCTTCACCTCAGCGGAGGCAGCAGCCGGGTCGCCCGGGGCCGCGCATTTCCCGAGTCGGGGAGAAGCTGGAGAGAAGCGGGTGCGTCAGAGCAGCGCTCGCCGCGGTGCCTCCCCGGCCGCCCCTCTCCGGGCTGCGGGCTGCAGCCTCGGCTGCGCGCCCGGGAAGCCGAGCGGGGAGCTGCTTCCTGGGACCGGCCTTGGCTCTTCCCCCGGCCCCGCCCCACCCCATGTGGGGCTGCACCTCCACGGGGGGAACCCTGGCGCGCCCGCCCAGCCCGGCCTTATCAGACTGGGGACCCAGCGTGCGTCAGGCATCAGCTGATAAGGTCGCTTCTCCCCGCCTCCCGGCCCGGAGCGCGGGCGCTCTCCGCGGTGCTGCCTCCTCGTCCCCTGCGAGCGCGTCGCCCCGTTCGGTGCTGTCCATGGTTCTGTTGCTTCTCCCTGAAATGAGTTCCCCGTGGGGAACGAGTTGGCCAAGGAACTTTCCTGGAAAGGTTCCTCCAGCCACCCCCTACCCACGTCTGTCTAGAAGTAGTCTGGATGCCTGGAGCAAATCGCCAGCTTTCCATAGGTGCTTGCCTTTCGTACATGGGTTCCAAGTTCAGGGTCTACGATGATATCGCTGGCCTTTCTTCTCCGGAAGGTTTCAGTACATCGTTTCCTCCTTCTTACACAGCCCCCCACCCCCCCCATGGCGCTCCCCTTAAAAGGTTGTTTACCTTTAAGGAGAAGAGACAAGCTAGCAGTGACTGCTGTCCCTAGAGGTGGCTGAAGTGGAGTACAGAAATGCTTAATCCGTTTCCTCGGAATCACAGCGAAGCTGTGTAGACTCTTCAGTGGGCTTGCTAAATTTGCTTCCGGTGAAGGAAAAAGTTGGATACAAGTTGTCATAAAAACTCCATCTCACTTAAAAAAGGGGGCGGGATGATCATTTAACGTTTTCCCCATATATACGCCCATAACCATAAACACACCCATAGCAATTGAGAAAATATCAAAAGTTCCTACCCAGTCATGATTTAAAGTGCTTCGCAAATAGACACGTGACATAGCAGGGTAAAATAAATTGACACAAAGAAAATGAGATGACACACAGGCAAATATGATAACCTTAAGCGATTTTGAAATGCCTACAATGGGTGTTGTGAAATCCTGTACACTTACAAGTGGTTGGCCACAGGTTTGGCCAGAGGCCTTTTAGCTATTTGAAAGTAAGAAAGATGTTTTGTTACAAGATTCGGTTTCTAAACGAGTAAAGAGAATACACTGAAAAGAGAGAAACTCCTGCACTGGGACCCAGACGAGAGGACACTGCTAGGAAATGCTGATGAGAATATTACTCATTAAATAAAAGATTATTCACAGAGCAGTATCACCAAATATCCCTTAGAAACAGCAGATGGTGGCTGCCTGTGTGTGGTGCTACAGTATGTGGCTCTTGCCAAGGAGGAGACTTGTGTTTATTTAAAGCACCTTCATCTTGGGGTCATGGAACCTACCAGAATGAGATGTAAAATATGCAACCTCTTCTTTGAAAACAGTGCTCTCAGCAGTTCTGCAGGGGTTCGTGTTTCAGGGTCCATGACCTGAAGGAATGGATGAGCTGAGGCCTTGGCGGTGGTATCTCTCAATACAGATCTTCAAAGGCACCATGGGCTTGCAATTATATTCCCCACCAGTCCTGCGTGGGGAAGCTGTTTGCACTGATAGTTAAATGAGCAGCTGACTAATAAGGGAACAAACCAGGAATAATGGAAGATACTCTGCGAGAACTGGGGTGTCATAAAGTGAAGAGCTAAGGAGAGTGCTCTCACACAGAGAAGACCCGATGGAGTAGTTCCAGAAGAACCAAAATCTGTTGAGGAATTTTGGTTGATCGCATACAGACCCAAAGGAAAATAATCAGAACCTTCTAGCTTTGTATCTTAAAGCATGGTCATAATTTTTTCTTAAAAAATGTAAACAAGTATAAAATTCCCATGTGCCATAAATCATCTCTGAAATGCCAGCTTTGAGAAATACACTTTCTTGGTTTACCTATTATGGGCTGAACTGTGTCCCCCTTGGAATCCATATGTTGAAGCCCTAACCCCCAGTACCTCAAAACATGGCTGTATTAATAATAGGGCCTTTGAAGAGCTGATCACAGTAAAATCAAGTGAGTTGAAATAACAGCTTTTTTATGAAACACCATTTTCACTTGAAAGAACAATCGTCAGATAAACTATCATTATTCAATCTTAGGTATTTGGCAGATATTTTCTCAAGATAAATAAAGCAAGCTTTCACTTCAAGGAAAACAGCTGACGGTATTTGTTGCCCATCATAAAACTTGAGCTTTCAAGTGAAAATTGGAATTTTGGAAAACTCATATCTGCCACTGTGAACTTGACAGCTTCCCAATACTTAAAGACCTTTCTGATAAGATTGGTTGGTGGTGATAACAAATGTTACTTTTTGATATTGTATACTGAAATGTGTCAACATTTGGAAGATCTGGATAATTCAGTGAGCCAACATTATCTAAATGACCACGGCGTGACACTGTGAAACCACAGAGGAATAAAAGATCCATTTCAAAAGGAAAATATGCAATGGATTTTAACTCAACAGAACACAAAAAGTGCACGATGCGATTTAAGATTCTGCATTGCAACAAAACCTTGGAGAAACTGCCACTTACTGAGTTTGATATGCCGTCACAGCCAAATGTCCATAATGACCTGAAAAGACTACTAAAATACTCCTCCACTTGTCAGCTGTATATTTCTGTGAGGCTGGATTTTCTTCATAAACTTAAACCAAATATAACATATCACAACAGATAGAATGCAGAAACAGATATGAGATTCCAGCTGTCTTGAAGAGATTTGCAAAAATGCCACTCAAACATTTTTTTGAAAATAGTTATTTTTCATAAAGACATCATTTATGTAAACATTGATGGGTTGGTTATTTTATTTTTAACTAGTTAATATACAAATGTGCTTTAAATGTCTCATTTAAATTTATATTTCAGTAAATATACATAGATTAAAACCCATGTAAACAAAATCTTGCTGGGATACTCAATAATGTTGAAGAGTGTAAAGGAGTCCTGAGGCCAAAATGTTTAAAAACTGTTGTCGGGCCGGCTGAGTGGCTCAGTTGGTTATGAGCTTGCCCAAGAGCGTGAGCTCTGAGCAACAGGGTTGCCGGCTCGATTCCCACATGGGCCAGTGATGCTGCTCCCCAAGCTGAGCTGCCACTAAGCCGCCAACAGGTGGCAGGATGGCTCAGCTGGTGACAGCAGGTGCTCCTAACAAGGCTGCTGTTTGAATGGTGGGCTATGCCCGCCCGCAACTAAGACTGAACTGGGCACCTTGAGCTGAGCGGCACGACTGGACTTGGAGCTGAGCTTGCTGCGCCCTCCACAACTAAGATTGAAGGACAACAACTTGGCTGTTCCCCTTCCCCAATTCCCTAATAAAACATTTAAAAAAACAAACAAACTGTTGTAGACGTTTGTCAGAACATCACACTGGGCCACTGTGTTGCTGCAGCGTGCACAGAACTGGATGAGCCAGTTTGTTAGCGTCCTCGGTACAATTCGTGTGCTCCAAAGGGTGGGACGTAAACCCCATGAAGAGTCAGTGCTTCCATGGTCTGGGGGCATGACAGGACATTCCTTCCAATGTAAAAGGAAAATTATTGCGCTGGGGACTTCCCACCCCTAAAAGAAAGCATAATGCTTGGTAGTCACTTTAGATGCCGTAGACAGCTTACCCCACACTCGAGGATACTGCTCTGCTCCAGATGCCCGGTGACATGAAAAGGCTGCCAGCTTGGTTGGGGCTAACAGCAGGAAAGGGTCCTGGTTTCAGGGAAGGCAGCCCTTCTGCTTGGGCCTTGTGACTTGGCAGACCTCATGGTTTTAGGTGGGCCTGTAAGGGGAAAAGGCTCCGTATAGACTTCACAGTGAACGCCAATAAGAGAGTCGCAGGACCGACCCGTGGGTTCTGGCGCAAAGTCGTGCCATCGGCACAGAACACACTACACCATTAGAAAAGCAGTGTGGGGGGTGCCAGGGCTGCAGGGCAGATAGCGCGTCTGAGCCTGAGACGTCGGTGGTGGTGGAGGGTGCTACAACCACCGCCATCTGGATTCTTGAGAACCACCCACGACATCGGCTCTAGTGGGTAGAAGCAAATCCCTAGCAGCAAACTAGCATCCAATGGAGGTAGTCCACAGCAGGCGGGATCAAGGAAGCTCTCCAGCAGGTAGCCTGGGCCCCCCATCCCCTCACAGTGTGAGCACCTGCCCCTCAGCTCCCATCTGTGGCTCCATGAGTAGCTGACAGAGACCAGAAAAGCTGGGGGTACCCCGCAGATGGGGCTGCTCGGTGTGTTGGTGCAAGCCAGAGCAAAGCTGCATTACGGCCCCTGCTCTGGGGTGACGGACAGGCTCTGGGTGGTCATCATCCACTGGCGGTAAGAGAAATGGCCCAAAGTAGGACGATAGAAAGACCTGTGAGCCGTGTCTTAAAGGCTGAAGGTGGAAAACTGGGAAAGAGGAGGCCTGTGGATGAACCAAAGGGAATATGCATAAAATAGCTTGGAAAAAAATCGCTCTTCGTGTCCCCAGGGAGCATCCACATAGAAGACTGGTGACAGAATGGCTCAGCCGGTGGGTGGCAGTCAGCCTCTGTCACGGCCGCCCGAGGGTGGGACAGCAGCTGCCTGTGTGCGTGGAACAGGACAGGCTCCCTCCCTGTTGCTTCGTGTTTCTAGTTTGATGGGTGAAAACTCGTGTAACATCCAAGGCTGGTGCAAACATGGGGAAATGAGTGATCTGATGCGCTGCTGATAGTAGTGAGACTTGCTGGTGAAAATAGGAAACCGTTTGGGGAGGAAGTAATCTAGCAGGGTCGATCACAACGAACACTGTGCATATTCTGTGATGCAGCAATCCTCTGAGGACCGGAGTTCAGACTTACAGAAACCAAAGCAAGGTTCTTAGCTGTAGCACAAAGCTGCTTGTTGTGGTGTTGTTTGTGGTGGCAGAAAACTAGAGACTTTCCTGGAAGTGGGCACTCAGGTTATGGCTCAGTTAGTGACGGTAGAGCCATGATGCAGAATACGGGGTTTTCAGGTGAGTTAGATAGAGCCATACTGACGTGGAAGTATGCCATGATACGTTAAGTGGGACTGGTTGTATAATACATTTTTGAAATATGGACAGAGATCTTCATGGGTTACGTTTTGCACATCTGTGTAAGTAGAGACACTGTTTTGTTGTTGCTGCCTCAAGAACCCATCTCCCCTTCTTAAGAGAGGACCTCAGTTATTTAGGGGTAATTGCCCTCCTCTACTGTCGGAAGTTCAGGGAACAAGCAAGCAAGGCTCCCGCCTATACTAGACATACGGAGACTCAAAGCCTTCCTCTTCCCCGCAAGATACAAGGAAAGGCTTGGCCTTGACCCTCCAGTGACTTTGAACCCTGAGAGAAAGGTGCAGCGGTGGAAGAAATGCCCATCTTTTATGGACCCCAGTGGGTTGGCAATGCCTGGACACAGCCGGACTCGTCCCCAGTTCATCCTCCTCACCTATTGAGAGCTGGATTTATTCCCACCCATTTTCACGCCGGCATCTCTAGTCTCGAGTTTTATGGCTAGATTTCACTGTGTCAGCATTTGAAATCTCCATGACTTACAGCCTTTTCTCACTCACACGCCACTACCCTTGTGGTCACTTGGGATTCAGGCTAAGATAGAGTTTGGACTTGATAAGGCAGGAATGCTGAAAAGCATACACTTTTCCAAAAGCTTTTTGGGAGACCCGATAAAGAGACGTTGAATCTATCTATAAGGGAGAGAAGAATAACTGATAGGCTCCTGAGGGGTGAGTTTTAAAGCTTTAGAGTCTTTAGAAGGACAGTTTCTCTCTGGTACCTGGAGAGGACAGAAAGCTGCACGTGCAGGTGAATTTGTGTATCATAGGCCCTGAATCTAGGTTTAATCAGAGAAGCAGAGCAATCAGAAGATACAGAAGGTTGTTTATTACAGCGACCAAACCTTATACAGTTGCGGAGCTGATGAGACAGTCTAGGGCAGGCTGTTGTCTCTGCATCTGGGGCTGGCATCTGAGGTCTGAAGGGTGGGCAGTCAAGGGGGAAGGCAGAAGTGAAGTGGCGGAGGCGGTGATAGTCTGGAACAGGCTCAGCTGGACGCTCATCAGGTCCTCACTGCAGGGGTGACCTCCAGGACTTAAACACACCCCCGTGGGAAGTCACATCTTTAGCCTGAAGCTCCCCTGATAAACTCAATCTCTACCTTAAGCGAGCCTATTGATTATCTTTTGGCATCTAGGGTAGCATGCCCTTGGAATGTCGGTAATCCCCTTTTCTGGACCAGAGCAGGAAGCTATAGAATCTCATTCTTATTCTCATCCCCTGATTACCATCTCTATGTGCTGGAAGAAGTGAGCCATTAACTATCCTGCGCCCACCTATGAGAAAGAAGTACCGGTCTCTCCAATGTACTTTTATCCAATAGAGATTTCCCCGCTTTGCTTTCTCCCAACCCCATAATCTACCACCAGTGGAGTAACCTTCCTCCCTTGATTCTATGTATAAAATAAGCTGCAAACCCGCATTTTGCGCAGCATTTTCTGAATCCGTTGAGATTTTTGCTTCCTGGCAATTGTTGTCAGTTTTGCTCAAATAAACTCTCATAAGCTTTCTCTTACTTAGGCTGGATGTTTTTTTCATCGACATGGCTAACACATACACAAATATATTCACGTCAAAATAAGGAAGAAACACTCATAACTGGTAGTCTTGTTTCTGCAACCGGCCATGTGGTCACCGCCGGAATCTGCAAGTACTGCCTCTCACTCGCCATTCCACAATGCGTCTGTCCTTAGCAGGCACCTTGGCCAGCTAAGGGTTGTCACAGTTTTCCACTGGCTTTGATCACGGCATGGGAGCACCAAGAGTCCCCTGCATTCCAGATAGAAAAGTGGCGTCATAAGCCGTAGATGGCTCCAAATTATCACCGGATGGAAGAAGAGGAAAACACGTCTGGGAACTTGATACAAGGTAATAGAGGCCCATCCAGGAACATGATACGGTGCAGTGCAAATAAGCAAGACTTTTTTTTGCCAATAAAAATGAATATTTTAACAACGTTTTATTGTTATGAACCAAATCAGTCTGGCAAGATGCAAGGTGGAGACAGCCAGCCTTGTGTCCTCATCACATTCTCCTGATTTAAACCGTGGTAGTATGTTTTACTTTACCGACTCCGACTTCTTCAAGTCTCCTATCTTAGCAGTGAAGAAATGAAGAGGAAGAATAATACTGAGTTAGGCAACGCTGAAGAGAGGCCCCGAAAGAGAGCCGAGGGGGGAGAAGTCGGGAAGGAAGCACGGAGAGCGGGGGAGAAGGGACGCCTTGGCATGGGTCAGCCCAAGGCCCTGACGGAGCCTCCCACTTGTATTTGCAGCTTTGAGAAGGCTGACATTACTAATGTTATATTTGAAAACACCTCATTCAGGATGTAAGCAATGGTTCCTAGGATGGGTCCCAGGAAGGACTGCCCAGAATAACATGCTGTGGGCACCTGGCAAGCCCCGATGGACTGGCTTTCATGTATGCTCATCTCCAATGAATATGTTAATACCTCTGCTAAGGAGAGTCTAAGTAAGCTCTCCCCTGACTCTAAGGAACACGTTGTAGATCAATGGAGTGAAATGTGTGAATGACGAAGCCTAAAGTAGAAGTTTAGTTTTTGTGATGTTGCTATTAACGGTGGGTTGTCGGAAAAGTCCTGACGTATATTTTCCATGTTCTTTGTTGCAAAAAATGCGTCGTAACTTTTCCGACAACCCAATATTATACATACATGTCCCTTGATACATTGAATGAAACACGGAACTTGATACTATCTGCACATCCCTTGGATTTTGTTTATACTTCTGTGAAGGTTCTCGGTGCTGCCGCACGTGGGCGAGTAGACTGAGGAAATTCTCCCACCTGGAAACCTGTTAGAGCTGTCCAGAACTCTACGAAATCATTTAAGCCCTGAAACGGGTGCCTGGGTGAAGTGCTCCAAACGTGAGTTGCTTTTGCGTCCCCTGAGGTTGCTCTGTGCTTTTCAATGTCTTGTTTTCCTTCCTCTCCACAGACATGGAGCGGACTCTTTATTCTGTGCCAATGAGTGCATAGCCCACGAGCGAGATGAACACGCAGCCTTCATATTCCTTGTCTTTCTAAGGAGCAGTGTTTTTAAGTTAAGAAAATGAACTGCTTTATATACTGAGGAAGGCATTACCTGTGAACCCTACTCGGGAAATAAGAGTATATAACATTAGAACTTCCATGCATTTGGGTTTTTTTAAATATCTTACAAAATATGCCTTCAGAACTGTTCATAGACAGAGAGTGACCCCCGTTGGGTTTACAGCCCCTACGTTTGTTCTAAGCTTAAGGCTCAAAACTCTTGTTCACATTAGAAGGCCAAAATAAAAGGGATTCTAACTCACACCTAACCTTGCGAGCACTTCCTGCTGGGAACAAATGTTCATAAAGGATATCGCATGTTAAAATGCCTGCCTTTTTTTCGTAGCAAAAATGGTTTTATCAATATCTCAGGAAAATGTCCCTAAAATCCCTATATTTACCTTGCTGGACACTCAATTGTTTTAACTTTGTTTGGATTAGCAATCATTGTTTCCGTGACTGCCACCACACAACAGGCACTGGGATTTGATGGGCTATGAACAAGTCTCAGGAAGACTTTATTCATTTTCACCTGCGCCGTGCTAATGAGCCTCAAATTAAACAGCTCCATCAAGGCTCAGCAGCTGGCGTTGTGCCCCACTGCGTATCACAAACTGAAAAATGATTATTTGGGGAGGTTCTGTAATTATACAAGATGAAAATGTTGGCAGCCAGGAGATATGTATTTTCCAAGAGTTGAGAGAAAATTTAATGAAAGTGCCACAAATATATTACTTAGGATGATTGTTTGCACTTAATATGAGGCCCTTTTCTCTCTGGATTTCACAGTCTGGGCTAATTAATTAGCCCTAATTCCCCCATCCCCCTGATGGTCAAGCATTTAGACAGACCTCCCGAGGCTGGAGTTACAGCCGTGAAGTAGGAAGGGGCCGGCGGGGGCTCAGGGGACCGTGAGTTAGCTGACACCTGTTGGGGCTTCGCCTTGGTTTCTTCCGCTTGCGAGGCTGTGAGCCTGGAGGCCCCAGCCAGCCAGCCAGGGCCCACAGGCTAGCCTGGGCCCGCCACCTGGCTGTAAATACAGCTCTTCTGGACCACAGCCTTGCTTGTTGGTATACCAGTTGTCTGTGGCTGCTCTCGTGCTGCAGTGGCAGTTGGGAAGTCAACACTGAGGCTTTAGGGGCCATAACGCCTGAAATCTTTCTATCTGGCCCTTTGCTGACCTCTGACCTAACGTCTCTGGACCTGTCTACCCATGTGTAAAATAAAGTGCCATAGTCAATAATAGTACCAATTTCACTGAAGAGGTAAATTTTACATTTGCACAGGGATAACTGTTTTGATGGTCCTTGAACCTAAGGTGGAAAGTCCCTAGAAGTGGTGCTCCCTCACTCACATGCATCCATGTTCTCCTTAGATACTCGCCCGTCACCCATGTGACACCGGGCAGCACACATCAGCAAGGGTGGGGGCTGGGGGGACACACACACTGCAGAGAATAAGGCCTCTCAGTAGTGGAGGGGTCGCATGGGGTGGGGTGTAAAATGGCCAAGCATTTGCAACTAAAGGCTTCCTGGTATTTTAAATGTAAATATTGGGGTGAAGGCAAGCGCCCACACTGTAGGTTCCCTCCAGCCCTGCTTGTATTCCTTGCTCCAAAAAGGTTTCACAGGTGCCTCACCCCAGTCGTCGGACTGGGCTGAGACGAACTCTCTCACACTTGGTTGGCTTCGTCACCCGACCCATGCCAAAGAGCCTCCAGTTACATAATGTATTTATAACCATAAATAGTCGGAAAAGTCATGACGCATTTTTGCAACGGAAAACAAAAACTACGTCATGACTTTTCCGACAACCCAATAGAATGGACTGAGGACATTTTACCTGAAGGCATCAAGAGATGTTTCATGAAATGGGGCACGTGGACGTGACCTCAGGCACACGAGTGGATAGCGTCATCTCAGACAGAGGGACTGACAGGCTGTCTGAAGCCATGGAGGGGAGAAGCTCCTCGACGCGTTTGAAGAAAGTCAAGTAGTCAGTTTGGCGGGAAGAGAGCATAAGTGAGGGGAGTGGCAGGAGAAAAGCTGGGTGCTGGGGTTCTGGACAGCACAGGTGGGCTGTGTGGCAGAGAGTAAGGGGATCATGGAGTTCACAGACAGCAGGCCAACTGGGCTGCGCTTCGCTCTGAAAGCAGTGAGAAGCTTCTGGGAATTTGGGGACCAGGGCAGTAAGCATGGTGTGGCTCGTAGTTTTCTGAGGACTGTGGAAGTCATGGTCCTACTTTGCCAGCTGTAAACTGAACAGGGCCAACACTCTCCAAGTGGAATCAAATGCAAGACCAGCTTCTACTGCCTCAGTTTCAGCCGTATGTTTTGTTAGGCGTTTATACCAGACGGGCTCTAATCTATGATGAGGGTGCGCGGTTACGTTTCTTCATATATAGCTTTTCCCTGAATGTCTTCACCCAGTTACTCTGCGTGTGTCTCCCACGGCTCCCACCATGTCATTTCCCTCTCGGCGGAGTCTCCTCCTCGTCCCGCCACCTGCCACGGCCGTCGCAGGCCCAGGAAGGACCTCAGGCTTGTCCACACAGGAATGGGTGTCCTCCCCCACTATCCTTAGAGCCCTCTCAAGACTCACCTCCTCAAAGAGGCCACCCAACCCCCCCAGTCCCCACGGTATCGCCCTGCTTGAACTCCTTTACTTGGACTACCCAGGGGGCGTTTACCGTGCTGCTTATAGGGTGAAGCTCAGTCATGTCATGGGTGCGTCTTGACCGCTAAGCAGGACCCGCTTGCAGTGACGCTAAGTGCTCAGTAAACGTATGTCCGGCTAAAGTGAGTCTCCTGCGATCAGACCACTTCGTTTCACTAGGTCGTGTGGCTCACCACCCAGGCTTCTCACGTAGCCGCTGGGTGGCTCTGGGCTCTCCCAGGTGTAGCAGGGCTATGGCCAAGTGGCCAGACAGAGACAGAAAGGTTACAGCCGTGTGTCAGCCTTGGCCCGGCAGAGGCCTGGCCGTCACATCTGCGTTAGGAGGCACTCCGAGAAGGGGAAAAAGGCAAATTTAACCATCTGGTAGATACAGCCTCATTTCTGGTTCTCTAAAAGGTAGTTATTTAATCTTGTCTGTGTGTCACTATATTAAAAGTTATCCACAAATTGTTTATATACAATTGTTTATGTAGCGACTCCATAGATATCTGTTGAATTTGGGGTTATTGGCTTTCTATGGAAAGGACTAATAGTGTTAAGAAGCAATCAGGTGTTTATTGTAAACCCATAATGGGCATGCTGGAGGCCTTACGTCCCTTTCTCCCCTGCTCAGACCTGTAACCTGTCCCCACCCTATCAGTCCCAGGCCGCTGACCCGACTGATGATATAAACAGACTCCCTTATACTCTGGCTTTGTACAGAGTCTAGTGAACAGGGAACCCCAGCAGAAAGCTGGAGGGGATCGAGAGCGGTGGGGTTAGGGTGTGTATCTCCCAGGTTCCTAGTCAGGGCGCCTTGAGCTGTTCTCGGCAGCTCGCCCTCCTTCCAGCTGCTGGTCGCCTTTTCTTCCCTTCCTCTCATCCCTCTGGACCTGGGCTCCTCCACGCTCTATGCGCCCTGCCTGCACCCATGTAAGCGGTGGTCCCTTTATAAGTCAGGTTTCTCAGAGGGTCCTGATTGAATGTGCAGCTTCACTTGCAACCCTAACTGATATAGTGGCCACGAAAGCCTGATAAGAACATTGAGAAACTTTTTCTTTAAA